CAGTGGGCGTGAGGAACATCGACTCCGAGGAGGTGGGAAAGATCGCCTCCAACAGTGCCACAGCGTTCCGGGTGGGGAATGTGCAGGAGCTGTCGGAACTGAGCGAGCAAGTTTTGGAAACTTTGCATGATGCAATGCACGAAACCTTATGTCCTGGTGTGACGGATGTTTCCAAAGGTAGTCCCTTTGTGTGCATGTTTTCAATCCTCTCCTGTTCACATTGGCAGGTCTTTTAGTTACTGGGCCCCGGGCGTGGGCCTGTGCATCCTTAAGCGTTTGGTAGCTTCAGGCGTTTGCTTGGATCCCCGTGGGTCATGCCTGCTGCTCATCTCACCCTGCTTTCGGATGTTCTTCCAGGACAGGTGCAAGCTGTCTTTTTTTGCCCTTGTAAGACTTACTCCCCCCTCCCCACATTCCTTAATCCTCCAAATGATTCAGATTTATTGATCTCTGTTTCTGATTATAGGTTTATTAGATCAGTTATTTGAGATCAGAGTATTGGTGTTTGCAAGTGCTTTTATTTAAAGTACAAACTTGAGATGCCTCTAAACATCTACTACATATCATCATGCCAAGATTAACATCACCAAAAAAGTGAACACTAATACAACCCAGCCTGCAGTTTGGGTTCCTAGCAGCTCCCCTCACTTTTCCCCGTGAGAGGCGGATCTAAGTGCTTCTCAAAGCTCGTACACAGGAGACCTTGTTTCTCCTTTGAGGGCGACATCCTGGTGCACATGTGGGATTGCCTGTCACTGGCGTGGGTAGAATTCATCCGGCAGCCTCCATGCAGAGCTCATGTCCTGCGTTTCTCCCTTTCAGCCTGTAATCTGGATGTGATTCTGGGGTTTGACGGTTCGAGAGATCAGAATGTATTTGTGGCCCAGAAGGGCCTCGAGTCCAAGGTGGACGCCGTCTTGAACAGAATCAGCCAGATGCAGAGAATCAGCTGCAGTGGCAGCCAGATGCCCACTGTGCGGGTGTCGGTGGTGGCCAACACGCCCTCAGGGCCTGTGGAGGCCTTTGAATTTGCCGAATACCAGCCAGAGATGTTCGAGAAGTTCCAGAACATGCGCAGCCAGCACCCCTACATCCTCACGGCCGACACGCTGAAGGCCTATCAGAACAAGTTCAGACAGTCGTCGCC